TTTTTTTTGCTTATCTATTATGTCTCGCTATCCTTTACTCTAACTTAGTGAAAGAACATATTTTATATGTTTATAATAAAATTCACAAAAATCTAGAAGAAAAAAGCTTTTTCTTTTTTCTTGTCAAGCAATGACTTTGGAAGAAACTAAGATTTGGACAGATCCGTCCACGCCTAGTTGTTATTGTACATTAATTATGGAAGCTATCTTTATATTCAACTAAGATTTTCTCACTTTGTTTTTGTCCTTTTTCTTGATATCATTCTTCTGGCAAAAACAACTAATTTAGTTAATGGTCAAACTGGTAGAGATCGAGAAACGACCTGTGGGCCTGACATTTGGAATAGTGCTTCCCGGTCTTTGTTAATAAGTTCCGAACGTATCTTAAAGAAAAGACGGGTGCTTCGACCCTTTACTAGATGATTGATACTAAAGCTTGAGTTCTATATGAGTAACTAAATTATTAATTTGCTTGAATAGATCATACCTTCGTTGGGACAAATGCAAATGATTTGCTAAAGAAACATTTGTTGAAATAACAAATAATTATATTATACTGTAGATTACACTTGTTCATCCCTTTCTAACAATTCCTTTAGAGCTAAAAGATTCTTCATTCAGGTTTCATAGCGTGTATTCCTTATATTTGGCTGTGTTAGTAATTTAATCACATAATTTGTATGTTTCAAAATGTCAATAAGTTAAAAAATGGATCGAAACAAACTTAAGCTATACAGTCTATTTTCTGTTCTTCTCCACGAATACTGGAAATCATAATCATTTTAATCTTCATCAATCATTTCATTTGCAACTATTATATGAATACTGATTCTAAACGTAATTTAAATGCATTTGTCTCATCAATTATTAAAAAATAACCTTGGAGATGTTTCACACATCATTAATAAAATCGAAAATGGATGCTTATTTTACGGTGGTTTTTTCTCGCAGTGTTTTTGTTTAACAGTTTTGATTTTGAAGTATTTCGACTGACAGCATTGCTATTCTAAGTTAAAATCACAAGGGTACCAATTTCCACTATATGTTAATTCTCGTACTTTTACTTGAACTCTTACATCGTGATCCATTTTGTCGAACGGACTGTATGTACTTCATAGCTCTTTGGATCTTCTTATTCACTTTTTCACATTATGACATGATTTCCTTCTCTATCAAATAGTTACAAACCTATTTTCGAAAAAATGTGTATTTGACGTTCTCTTTCTTTTCAATTAATCCGCATGTTTTTCTTCCTATTGGCACTATTTATCGTCCATTTCAAGTATCTACAAATCTTTTATTAGTTGCTTAACCGAGCGTATTTAAATTAAGTTTTTCAAGTAATTTATGCTAAATCAACATACATATACGTACACACACTCACAAGTACTTAATATAAATTTTAGTTGCAACCAAACAGTGAATATTAGTATCGATAACACATTAATAATAATGGGATCGTTATATAATCAAAACGAACAAAATTATAAGCACATGTTTAAATTAGTTTTGACGGGTGATGCTGGTGTAGGGAAAAGTCAATTATTGAGCCGTTTCACAAGAAATGAATTTGCTTTGGGTAGCGCATCAACTATTGGCGTCGAATTTTCAACAAAAGAGGTTCAAATTAATCGCAATATCGTTCGTTGTCAGATATGGGATACAGCAGGTCAAGAGAGGTTTATAGCGATAACAAAACCATTTTATCGTAATGCGTTGGGTGCTTTACTCATTTTTGACATTCAGCGGCTAGAGACATTCAATAATTTGGATCGTTGGTTTCAAGAAATCCGAGCAAATGTCGGACCTAATCCATGCACAATAATGCTTATAGGAAATAAGATTGATCAGAGACATATACGAGCGGTCACTACCGATGCCGCAAAACGATATGCAGAAGAGAAAAATATTAAATATATGGAGACGTCGGCATTAGATGCAACAAACGTAGAACAAGCCTTTCAGCAGTTGATTCAAGATGTACATGAAGAATATACGAAAAAATTAAGACGAGATTCATTTACAAAAATTATACTACCCGATGGATTTCCTCTACAGCCGCACGAAAACTCAACAAAACCAGAAGCTTCTTCATGCTGTTTCTAGAGTAGACCATGTTTTATCTTTTTTAGTGAGCTTTCTCCTTTCTTTTCTGAATGTGATTTACTATCTTTTTCTCGATGACAAATTTTTGCTGTTGTTAATCGTCTTCGTGGATGTGACTTGCTCTTGTTAATTTAACAATCATTTCGTTATCTTGCGAAGCCTCCTCAGTTTATTCATTAATTTTTATAAATACTTTTAATTTCTGATCAAACGCTTATCTCATTGCACCCGGGAAGTTCCCTTTTTGTTGCTCGTACGCTTTTCGAGATTATTCGGTTCTAAGTACATAATCTTTTTGAAATTCTCTCGATCGATACAATGCTAACGGATAACACTTTAAGTCTTGATTTGATGTATGAAATGAATTATGTGCTATTAGAAAAGCATTCAATCAGTCGTTCTTGCTCCAGAAAAGTGTTTGTTCACTATCGGTACCTTGCGCATCTCCGTGCGTTATGAATACTCCACTTGTAGCTTGAGAGTGTTTTATTAATCTTTATCAACTCAAATCAGTTGCATTTGATAATCTTTCAAATCTTTATTAAATCAGTTCTATGTTTTCTTTAAGTTGGCTATCTTTTTCGGCAAAGACACATACACAAGAAAGATATATAACTGTTGTTTGCCATTACAATACAACAAACCGGTCCGAAGATCATATTACATTGAGACAAGAAGCCGGGTAACACATTATGTCATTTTATGCCAAATAATAATTTTGTATTGTGTAGTAAAGATTAGTCTTATTTTAACCAGTTCCAAAATTTAGTCTGACTATAAAATTGATGTATTAAGTTGATGGTTCCTTGTGTTTTGTAAAAGGTTATAAAGAAAAAGGTAAATATTCAAGAATAATGAGCAGAGTAATAGCACAAATTGAAGGAAAGGATAGAATCAATTTACATAAAAGAAAACAACCACATCATTCAAATACTGTAGTCAAGCGAAAATCCAAGGCAGTGCATTAGCATACATATATTCTTTCCAGAAAACCAACCCCAGAAGTCTAAGGGGATTTCTGATGCACCCCACTGACTGACAACTTTCATCGTAAAGACGCGTTTAGAACGAGTACGAGTATAAATTAAAAAATAGTGGCATTTTCATCTTTGATCGCCTTTCGAAAATCTACAACTATATTTTTCATATTTTCCGCCTAAAACTAAATCTGGACAGTTAGTTTTGGAAATTTTAGAAGGTAAACTGGACTCAGAATCTCCGAAGCAAGAATATGATGGTAAAGGAGCTGGTGCTCAATTTTACGAACCTGTTTAGTCCAACAATTTTGGATACAAAATTCTTTCTTTTACTTCATTTTAATCGCGATACTTGTGAAGAAAAGTTTAAGTATTGTTTTCGAAAAATTTTATTTAGTTGATGAGAAATTTAATTTTTTCGAAAGCAGCGAAAAAAACAATAAAACTGGCGTCGTATTTTGCCGTTTTCTCCATCAAAAATCAGCTTTTCGATACAGAAAAGGCCATTTGGGAATCAGCGTTAAAACCTGAGTTGAAAAATGCGTTTCGGACATTTTCGAGAATTTTGGATTTTGAGTGAAAATGCTGAGTTTTTTATGCCAACCCGGTAACACGGTACCAGCTAACAGGTACCGTATTTTTTGCACAATTATTGCGTTCAGAATGAAGTAAAAGAAAGAATTTTATATCCAAAATCGTAGGGCTATTATACGATGCAAAAGAAATGGAGAAAATGTCGATCATTATTTCTGTATATTCCTGATGCGCTGACGATTTAATTGTTTTTCCGTTAGAAAGAGCAAAGTGTGAACTTCAAAGAACATAGAAAAAAAAAACTTTTTTGTAATTGAGTTTGCGTGAGAAAAAATATAAATGTCAAACGTCGCCTATAATGCTGTTGCAAAGCACTTTTTTCTTTAATTTTTCACTGCAATCTGACGAGAAAACCTTTTTTGAAAACTAAATAGATGAGAATGTCATCTACGCAAAACTATATTGATCCATCTACTATATCATTAACTCCTTAATAGTAAAAGAAACGTATTACAAAAGTCAGATTTCGTAGAAAACTGTAGTTTTCGTGAGAAAGACACGACATCGGGAAAATTTCTTATTTAGGACTCAAGATATGTCCGTAAAAATTAAAAGTAATGCGACCTTGTAGAGAATTGAGTGCTGTTTCAGAAAATGTGTTTTAGCAAAAGAATAAAGTTCATTTAGTATATGAAAATTATTAATTAAGTCTAATCAACTCTTTTTCTAAATCAAATGAAAAACGCACGAATTTCTAATTAAAAAGTAGATCGAAAGATAATTTATCACACCCAATTCAAAAGAGCAATAAAAACATTTCTAGTTTCTATAACTATATAACTGAAAACTTACTTTGCTATAATGAAAAAATACTTTTGATGAGAACGATACATTTCAAAAGGGTAGAAGTTGAAAGAGCTTTTTGGGCGGCGTTTCGTATTTAGATTTCTTCTCACTCAAACTCAATTACAAAAAAAAAGTTTTTTTCTATGTTATTTAAAGTTCAGACTTTGCTCTTTCTGACAGAAAAATAATTAAATTGCCAGCGCATCAGGAACATGCAGAAATAACGCTCGACATTTCTTCCATTTCTTTTGCATCGTATAAGAAATAAGTTCGTAAAACTGAACGGCAGCTCCTTTACCATCTTGCTCATGCTTCGCAGATTCTGAGTCCAATTTAGCTTCTAAAATTGTCAAAATTAGCTTTCCAGACTCAGTTTTCGATAAAAAATAGGAGAAAAATGCTTGTAGAATTTCGAAAGACGATCAAACATGAAAATTTCACTATTTTTTCTGTAGATCAAAAGATCAGTATTTTTCAAAATTTTCACCCGAAAATGACGTTGAAAAATTTTAAATTGCCACGATAACGGGTAGCACCGAAAATGACGGTATCAGAGGCGGCAACATTCGGAAAGATTTCCTGTCCAAGCAGGCTCCATTCGGCCCACCAATTTTTTTCGACTCTAAGGAACACCATCCAGCAATCTAAACATCCTGATTACGCCATTGGCATGAGGTAACTCCTAGGAATTCTTTTTATCTTTGATTGAAGCTGCAAAAAATAGTTATTTTCTTTTCTTTTCTTATTCACGTAATATATCGTGTGTACTCACGTTAAAAGACGCTTTTGTTTTCTTTTTTTCCTTTTCCCTTCCATTCAATCACAGGTCGCATGTAAACTATATAACACGAAGAAATTACTATGACGTGAATTTTACAATATACTCAAACACATAAATCAACATCAAATAGAGACTGAATGATCGATAACGCACGTCTTAACATGAACACATACTAAATATAACATGAATAAGGAAATCAAATAGAGAAGAAAATTACTATTTTTCGTAGTTCTATTGTTCGGGGACTTTCTCATTATATGAATCTTTTTAATTTCATGAAAATTCAAATGTCTCATGGCAGTCTCCAGTGTCTGCTTCTGTAACTTTTGACCCGACTTTTTTTTCAGATGTTTTTTTTTATAAAGAAGCACCCTAAGAAACGCACAAACATAAGAAAGTACAGAAAGAAAAGAGAATACAAAAAAAATGTCTTTTATAAAACAAAGAAAAACAAAACAAAAACGCTGATTATATAAATGCAGTGTTATAGACATAAAAAATGTCTTACTCAATTTTTTCTTTTGACGACTGTATAAGAAATTGAAAAGCATATCATTCGATTCGGATTGACAAGTCGATTTCGAATATAGCATTGCTTTTTTCGAATAAAAAGCTTTTTCGGAAATAAAAATTTGCAAAACACAGGGTAGATATCGTGATAAAAAACAACAACAAAAATGAGTTTTTTCACTTATAATCCATTAGCGACAGTTAAAAACTATATTAAACGATTGGCAATTGATCCTTGTGTAATACGATGTACAATATTGAAGAGTAGGTGTGTCGGATAACAAAATGTTCTAAGAACTGAATTCTGTAATGTTAAATGTAAATGTTTATCCATTCATGTATTAAAAAACTTTTGTCGATCTTTTACATATTGTTGAAAACGTTTTTGTCCATAGGATACATAATTAAAATTGTCTGTCGCTGCTGGATTTAATAGAGCTTGTAATAAAGCCCACAAAGACCAATATAAATGCGCTGGAACAGTTAATTGATCAGATAAATCACATAAATGTTCTAATTCGTCATCTGTTGGATTTAGACGATCTTTTACTAGTGAAGTATGTTGAAAAAATTCTGCATGTTTTAAATAGACGGTTAAAACTTGTTTTTGAAACTTTCTATCTGGATATAATGAAAAATCGGGGGATGCCGAAAGGCCAGCAAATTCAAGAAAATAATTTGACAGATCGAACAGCCAGTAATTGAACATACAATGTTCAAAATCGATCATTCCTATTTGATCTGTATGTTTATCGTATAAGAAATTTCTTGATTGCGTATCCATATGAGAATAGATCACTTGAAGTGTCCATTTTTCTTCAAAAATGACCTCCATTGCTTCGATATCTCGCTCTAAATCTGACAGTTTATAATTGATTAAATCCTCCGTTTTATCCAATGTTAAACGTTCTGAAATACCTAAATACTGTTTAACGGTTGAGAGTACACCGACCGAAGATGCTGGTTCGCGTTGACTCACTTGTGGATTTTTACCACTCAATATGTTTAAATAATGCCGCAATTTTTCCGTAAATTGTTGTTTACTCGGTTTAAATTCGAATTTTGGTGTTAATGAATGAAATTCGGCGAGTTTCTGAACGATTATTGATGACAAATGTTCATTTCGAACCGATTTTGGATCCATCTGTTTTCCTGGCAAATAGGTATAGAAGTAACCGTTACGAAATTTTAAAAGAATCTGTTGATCAGAAAACTTGTGTTTGTATAATTCAGCCATTGTACGAATTTCTTGCTCACGATCGATCAACAGATCTGAATTGAGACCATAGAGTTTTACAATTATACTTTGATTTTCATCGTCGCCGTTAGGAAACATGGCAAGAAGAAAATTCGATAGACCCTCGGTTAACTTTTCATATTTAAGTTTTTTTGTTGACCATTCGGGTATAACTGCACATATTAACCGAGATGCTTCTAGCTCAAGTGTTTCAGGGTGTAACTCAACATCGTGGAAAGGTATGCAGTTGCACATGATCTAGAAAAGAAGCAATTCTGAGACACACCAAATGATAGAAAAAGATGAACAACAATCTCATTGCTTTCTATCCTTTAACAAAATTGATATTTTGAAAAATTCAACTTGATTTTCTTGGTAAAACACAATATTTATCAACTCATGCAAAGTCTTCTATTTGTCTTCTTTAGGAATATCATCTATCCTAACGATGGCATAAGATAGCTGATGATCAGATATTTTCAAAAGTTTTAGACCTATAAAACGATAGAGTCGTGCATGCTGAATATCGTATAATATCACAAATTCTCAAACATTCAAGAAAAAAATGTTGTTTTAGGTCATGAGGTACCTCACACATCTACCACTTATATAGGTAGAGTTTCTGTATGAATATATTTGCCTCCAGAATATACGTCGTAGATGTTGAATATGATGAAGATTTTAAATCTGAAATTATTTTATAAAAACTTGGCTATCCGGAGATAATCGCTCGATTAACTGCTCTCGATCAACTGACTACGTGTCTTCAGTAAAAAGCCCACTGCACTTCTCGTCCTACGTAGACCTTGTCCCAACATGAAACTTTCATCATATCTACTACTTGACTCAATGTCATTGCTACAGCACATCATTTATTAAGCAGTGTCTAATCAACATCACGAAATTAGCAGATGAATGGCCGACTCAAGCAATATAACGAAATTAATGCGGATATTTTTAGATTAGTCACATGATGTGATCGCCCGAACACACACAGATTCATACGGGGGGTCGAGAGTCTACAAAAATATATATGCGTGATATTTGATCTCGTTTTCTGAATTTTTCAAAAAGCTTCGTTTCATTTTTTCTCTTTTTGAACCTTCAAAAACTTTTTCAGTTAAAGTAGTGGCATCTGACTCTGTCGACCTTCAGGAACAGAAAATTGTTTCCTTCAACTTATGACCTTCTCGAGTCCTCCAGGATATAACATGACGTAAACTGTAAGGTGCACATAATTCAAACTTTCAGTGGAATTTATTTTTGATTCTTTTCGCATTACTCGACAGATAATTTCGCGCTGATCACGAATATATGTCTCTCAGTGCTTTTGGACACTTATTTGTGATTCAAAAATCGAAAAAACTCGCAAGGTGTCAAAAAGTCTAAAATTCCAGGTTTTAGAGAAATGACCGTAGTTTTTCGTGTTATGGTTTCCCCAATGGAACCAAAGATTTTCGGATTCAACATTCAAAACTGAATAAGAAAATAGTCTGAAAACGTTTTTTGGTCCCAACGCCTATTTGTAAAATATCCCGAAATGCGCATGACCCAAAAACCGAACGCAATTTTGCAAATTTAACACAGGTTTTTCTAGAGGCCGCAGAGGCAATATTTTTATATGGCTCGATCCGTCAGATGCTCCTCTTCAAAAGCATACGTACACTTTTTAGAAATTCTTTTTCACTGCTGAGAAAATGCATTCTTTCCCAATAAGAGGCGAAAAGTCGGAATTCTGTCAGTAATTCTTAGTTTTCTCAGATAGAACTCAACTTTTATGCAATACAAATATCATATTTGGAATCAGGATCCAAAACTGAGTCTATTGATGTGTATCTGGGAAAGTTTTGTTCATTTTTATTTTTTGAGGTGAAAATCTCGATGATTTTTCAACATGTAGATTCGAAAAAAATTAAAGTACTCGTATATTATAGAAATATTTTCTTTATCGACTGGTGCGAAAAAGAACAAAAAATAAATTTCACTGAAAGTTTGAATTATGTGGACCTCATAAACAGTTTCAGTTCGACTCTTATCAACGCTAATGCGTACTCTCCGAAAAGTTTTATCAAGATTGTACTTCAACAGGATTAACGTTCCATGAAAGTTTCGTCCAGATCAGATGTCAGGTGCCCAACATATTTCTGACATAGAGAGAGGTCTTACCGCAGATTTCTTAATTCCTTCTACTCTACAGTTAGGGTGCCAATAATTTAGATCGTTTAACGTCCAAATTTTGTCTGTAACCGTCGAAAAATGTTTCTATCTTACTTGCTAGAAAATATGAAACTCAGAAGTTTAGGACAGTAGAAGGTAGTTAGTCTACCTAGAATAATGACGAATTTTTTGATGAAAAAGATTAAGTACCAGGGTGTCGCTACGCGAAACTAAACTTTTTTTATCACAGTCGAGTAGGATTAAAACGTAGGAGAATAGGATAAGTTTTTGTTCCCTTCCAAATTTTGGTCGCTGTTTCAGTCGGCCATACAACATCGGACTAGAACTAGATTGGCTGAATGAATTTCATACAGGATTGGACTGACAACTTCTGTACAGAAAACCTCAACTGATGTCGGCGGAATACTCCTGGGAAAGTGCTGATCTTAGAATATAAAGATAAATGCAAGTTCCTAGCTGAAAGACTTGTTTTTAAAAGCAGAAAAAGAGCCGATCGCCTCTTTGGAATATGCGAAGGGCATGGTTTTCCGGATGTTAATGCGGCACTAACTGCAGTCTGACAAAAGAATATGTATGCCTCTGATCGAAAACTCAAGAAATCGAAAGTGAAAATGCACAAGGCGTAAGATCGAAGGAAGATAAAAATGGCGAAAACCTGAAAACCCGAAAACGGTGAAAATGACGGAAATTTGAGTTTTGTAAAGAGACGCGTAGCTCCAAAATATTGTTTAGTTATTATGTAAAAATGACAATCGAATAAGCACAATAAAATGTATAGATCAGGGACGTGGAGGAAGATGAGTGTGAGTAGACACAAGAAAATGAAGTACAAACAACAAATCTATCGAGCTGTTATGGTCTATACTTGTTACTGTCAGCTCATCAAATAGAGTGGCAAAAGATTTCACACAGGCACAAAATGATCGTATGCACGAAATATTTGCAGATCTATCGAGAGAATTATGAACAAAAAATATTTTGCAGATACAGGTCCGCTTCCAAAACTCGCATTTCCGTTGTTTTTCGTACATTTCAGGTTTTCGCCATTCTTGTTTTCGACCTTATGCACTCTCGATTTCCACTTTCAGTGTTCTGAGTTATCGAGATTCGATCATACATTCAACAAAAGTATTTACTTTAACAGACGACGCAGCTTTTTCGGTCAAAGAACATGCTTATTTCTACTTACAACTGTGTGGAAAAATAGTTAACTGGCAGCGTCAAAAGAAAAAAAGAAAATATATGCTTGATGACTTGTAACTGTGCCGTATGTTTCTTTTTCTTTGTATTATTCTCCTAAAAAGAAAGTGAACCATAATTCTATGGTCTGTTTTATTCTATATGTGTACTGCAGATATATATATCTGTCTTTGGACTGAAAAAATACATTGGTGAAAAGTATACAGGGGTAACTTAGACGAAAGAGAACAAATGAACAAAAAAGAATAAAACACAAAGCGAGAGATACAAGCATAGAAGAAAACTATTAATTGAGTAAAACTTATAAACGCACGAATCAATAGCTTCGAATGAACTAGTAAAAATCAACCTTATTTATCCATACTTACACTTTTGGCGTTATTGGCGTTTTACTCTCCACCAAAAGCAGTGGAACTTTGCTTTTCCCATCTGCGTGAAACCCTCATGTGGAATTCATACCCGGTCTCATCCTACTCCAAAACTGACACGGATGATTTTAAATGCAAGAGCATTGCAAATACTATGTATGCAAAGAAAAAACCATTTAGCCCATATGTAGGGGTCTGAAGATAAAGAATCCTGAAAATTCGAGTTTTCTGGAAAACGTATTAAAATCAAACTTTATCCAAAACCTTTTCTAGCCACATCGTTGAATGGAGCGCTCAAATCTGAATTAAATAATATGTCGCCGACATTTCTAAAATCTACCATCCGAAACTGGCATTAAAAATACGAAAAGTGCCAGAAAATACCCGATTGGAAACTGAAAACTGGAATTTCACATACATACATTTTGCAAAGGCTCTAGTTCAATCATCCTGCTGTGTGACAGCTTGCAAAATATCTCATTTTGTTCAGAATTGGACGCTCTGACGAACCATGTGGTTAGAAAAGTTTTTGAATACAGTTTGATTTTAAAAGGTTTTCTAGAAAACTAGGATCTTCTAAGTCCCTTATTTCAAAACCCGTACATGGTCCAAATGTTTTTTTCTTTGCATGTATAGTATTTGTAATGCTCTTTCATTTAAAACTATCAGAGTCAATTTTGGAGTGTGAGAGTAAAACGCCAATAACGTCTTTTCCACAACAGCTACAGATCTGTCATCTTTATGAATAAATTCAGCGCAGCACGCTCTGGAAAATCCATGCTATCTCGCCGTTGGCGCCAAGGGTCGGTGTAATGGTGGTATGTTTCACGCGGATTCATCCACAGACAAATTTCGAATTAGAGACGATTTTGATACAAAGTCTCCAACGTGCAGATAGCGAATGCTATTATCTCACATAAAAATATCACATTAAAATCAAATAATAAACCGTGGTTTATACAAGAGTTAGGATAGATGAGTATTAAAACCATTAATTACACAAAATAACTTGCTGACATAAAACACAAACAATAGTTAAAGATTATTTAACTGCATCAGAATACTTGAACGTGCGTGTGTGTTAGCTATACGCCGATTAATAATTAACGTTAAGGCATTCAGCGAAGTTGTTCCGAATCAGTTATAAAAAATCGGAATCAGAATTTTTGTTCTACCTATTATAGTTGTTGATAAAACCAATTTCCAAAAACTTCGCGTGAAACATACCACCATTACACCGACCCTTGGCGCCAACGGCGAGATAGCATGGATTTTCCAGAGCGTGCTGCGCTGAATTTATTCATAAAGATGACAGATCTGTAGCTGTTGTGGAAAAGACGTTATTGGCGTTTTACTCTCACACTCCAAAATTGACTCTGATAGTTTTAAATGAAAGAGCATTACAAATACTATACATGCAAAGAAAAAAACATTTGGACCATGTACGGGTTTTGAAATAAGGGACTTAGAAGATCCTAGTTTTCTAGAAAACCTTTTAAAATCAAACTG